ATATATTAGTTGCCAACGGGAATCAAACCTGGGACTTTGCTTACTAGGGGGAACAATTGACTACAAAGGCTTTGTGTTAAACTCAAGATTTTTCTCCAAACCCAAAATTGACATTTTATTATGCCTGCTAATGCTCACAGGGACTAAACTTCTATGAATTAATATAATAGGTACAATCGTTAGCTTTACTCTATTTTCTTTCGGCATTTTCGTACAAATTTTGGGTTCTATGAATATGTTGTTATTTTTTAAAAATCAAAATATATAAAATGTGTTATTTTATTAGGAATGCTGTGCAGTGTGGCTTATCAAATTATTTTCAGCAAATATTATAATAAGTGTTTAACATTGATTTTTGCCACAGTAAGTTGTATATCATTATCGAAAATTTGGGTTGCGTTGCGCGATGCAATTTGAATTACGATGATATCTACGGGGCAATTACATTTTTTCTATATGAGTTACAAATAGCAAAGTACTGTCCTAGATTTGTATAATTGAAGACATACAACGGAAAAAAGAAACAAATTAATAAAAGAGAATACTATATTATAACACAAATATAAACTGTATTTTTTGCGGTTGTAATATATACATTTTAGTAAACAGTTTTTGAGGAAAATATTCGAAAAATTAAAGGCATGTACAATAATTGATTAATTGGAAAGAGGTGAGTTTTGTCACTGAACACATTAGACTAGATGAACCTTATAAGGAAGGCGGTTGCACTTTGTATGTGATAGTTACGATCTAGTGATCAGCAAGATGTATGAGAAATATTTATATTTTGGAAGCATTCATAGCATTGTCGTAGTTGATATACCAATCCCTCCACCAGAACTGCCACCACCACCATAACCACCACGATCACACCCATCATCAACACCACCTCTACCACCTTCACTGCTACCATGAACATCAGCACCACCACCACCATCACCATCAGCACCACTACCACCACTACCATCATTACCACCACCATCACCACTACACCATCATAAACACCACCACCATCATCCCTACTACCATCAGCAACAACATCACTAATACACTATCACCACAACCACGAACAACACCACCACCACCACCATCATCGGCAAAAGAGCATTCGCCTATGCTGCTTCATCGCTGTGGAACGAATTGCCACTCTCTATCAGTCTCCCTCTATTGATTTATTTAAGTTAAAACTGAAACCCAATCTCTTTAACTCTTATTTAGACAATCCTTCATTCGCATTGTCAACTTTATTATTATCATTATTATTATTATTATTATTATTATTATTATTATTATTATCATCATCATCATCATCATCATTATCTTCACTGTCGTTGTAAGAGACATCGTCGTCATTAAATCCATTGCCATGTCATTATCATTATCATCATCCTCATTATCGCTGTCAATTGCTGTTGTCGTCATCGTTCAAGTTTTACTGCTACTTTTAGGCATAAGAATATTCTTTATTGAAATAAACTGTTTTAAGATGTGTATGATATAGAACGTATAGAACTTGCATATGTACATGTGTATTCTCAATATAAAAAAAAGTGTCATTTGACGCCCTCTGGCGTTCCAGTCTGGTTGGAATACTAATCTAGAGATTCTTAAGCTGTCGATTCATTTAGAAAATCAGAAAAAGAAATAAAAATACCATGAAACTAGTGGTTTATTTGCAAATTGCATTAAGTGCTGCAAGGTATGTTTTAGTCCCAGCAATTAGAAGCGGGTTGAATCCATTAAGCATGTGATCGAACGTTCATCGCCAGTCAAACTGTACCATTAAAAAATAAAAAAGGAGCAGTTAAAATACACAGTTGAACCATAGTAGAACAAACATGAGATTCTAATGTTGTCGTGCCACTGCGCATTAATAATATTAATATTATTATTATTATTATTATTAATAATAATAATAATAATAATAATAATAATAATAATAATAATAATAATAATAATAATAATAATAATAATAATAGTGGTAAGATGATGATGATGATGAATACTGTACAGTAATAATAATTCTAAAATAATATAAAAAAAATTATGTAAAACAATAATAAAAATATACGGCCTTACAGAATGCATAGAGCATTGCAATTATACTGTCCTTACATTATAATTATGAATTTTGATTTTTATTGTGAATTAGTTACTTCATTTAACCTCCATATGCCTAGCCCGTACCGAAATAGAAGGCTTTTAAATCCACCCTTTAGACGTGTTGATGTTACCATATGTGACACAGATAATAAGTTCTGTATCACTGGTGATATCGAAATATTTTTTGACAGTTTAACCATATTTAAGTCAAATATTATTGGGATATTTTAGTTTATATATGTATTTATTATTTTATCTTTTATTTGTATATTTTCCTTTTTTGTGAGTGTTATATCTATATATTATATTTATTTGATGGCTACTTTTAATTGGCAGTTTTATGGAAATTTGAGGTTTTATGGATATAAAATAAAATAAATAGTAGAAAATAGAAGTAAAATATGAACACTGAAATAAGCAACCGACAGAACTACGTTTGATTTAATTACATTAAGATTTTACTGTTTTTATTTAAGTATATAATTTTATCTTTTTGATTTTAGAGAACTCGCTGAAGTTGACGATGGGTTTATTAGTCATGGTTGCTATGACGACGGTGTCACTCTCCGACTTGTTACGGCAGCTTGCGAAGTTGCAGGTGAGAACACTAGTACTAGACTGTCAGAAAGCAAAAGTTATTTTACTATCAATTTTTAAGCTAAAAAAGATTAGCGAGACATATGGACGCAGCGTAGAAACTTATATGTTGAAAGCATTCATGGC